TAACTTAAACAAATTAAATAACTTAAACAAATTAAATAACTTAAACAAATTAAATAACTTAAACAAATTAAATAACTTAAACAAATTAAATAACTATTACTAGGTGCTTATAGTAATAGTAATTACTATTACTAAAAAGTGGCAACCCTAGGTTACAGCGACTTGTAGTAGATTATTAGTAGAGCTTGCTCTGTTTAATATATTCAGGTTTGCAGAACGAAAAGTTAAGCAGAATCTCCTCTTTTAGACGCGCTAGTTAGTTATAATTTCTTTAGATAAACCCTAGTAACGCTATTTCTCTATCACCTTATATATTTCTTACATTTTTTTTAAAAAAATGTATACTTAATATAAGTACATCTTTATGTTAACTTGCATATAGTTTGCTCTAGCATGTGTTGTGTAAAACATGTTTAAATTATAGTTAGTTGCGTCTGTTCCACCTCTCCAGCCACATCAGTGTGACGGGGATTGGCATCAGCCACACTTGGTTGCGTCTATTACCTGTCTAATACTACTTTGCTAAGCATTATACTGCAACCATTCTTTAACCTAAACAACCCACCTTAATGCGCTAACTATTACTCTAAGCAAGCTTTGCTTTATAGATTATTGATAAACTGTTGTAGTATTTTATTCTTATACTTAGTAAGTATAGTGTTGCGTTGTTTAGACATCACGTCTTATATATACTTGTAGTTGTGCTAAGAGATTTTAACTATATTAGTAGTTTAACTAGCTTAGTAGTAGAATATGTTATAAAATGGTTTTTTATTTTTATACTATTATAATACTATCTAGAATATAAGTTCTACTATGACTATCTATAGAACAATAGCTCTAAGATGCTAATGCTATTTATTAGAAGTCCCACAGAGTGCCGAATGCATGCAATCCGGCTTCGCGACAACCTTGCATCATCTCATCATTTCCCTGCATGTTGGACGTAATGAAGATGACTTCGGCTTCAAATCTTGTCCACGCGTCTTTAAGAAGTTCCATGGTGTCTGGTCGTCCTCCACGTTTTTTCGAGTCCCAGAGGATCATTCTCTCGGGTTCGATGTGCTTTTGGATTAGAGCCGTAATGGTTGGTCCGAAAGTTCTCTCTTGATCAGAGCCTATCCAAATGAGAAACCAGTTTGGGCTCTGGATGCAGGTGGATAGCGCTGCCCCAATTCCGGTTCCGGTGCAGATGCGGATTCCTCTCTTGAACATTGCGGAGGCATGCCCAACGCCAGCTTTGTGTGTTAGTGGATGGAACTGAGAAAGTAGGAGAGCAACAGCGTACCGAACTTCAGCTCTCTAGTCCACACTGTCTTGGGCGGATTAGCAACGAGATCCTTTGTAAAGTCGCCCTGAACACCGCAGATCATATAGTGATGCGTAGACTTCCGGCCCTCGCTAATGATTCCAAAAGCGTGGTACTCCATGATTGAAGTGCGGCTGATTCTTCCCAAGAGACCTTGTTGCATCCCACGCTCAAAGCGGAGCACCGCAACTTTAGGAGATGGAATTTCAACTACCACAGGGACCTCTCGAAGGGTAACCCAGGGGATGAGGACACTGTGCATTGTGAGTAATAATAAACAAACAAGCGTAGAGCAACATACAAAACTGTCATGAACACAGCAAACCAGAACTCTTGTGCACTAAGCAGGACATGGGCGTCGGCTCTCCATTGCCTAAGTTTAATATCATAAGCGTTTCCCATGATTACGAACATCCAGGTGGTCTAGGAGAAGTCAGCGCCAGTTTCAATTTAAGATTGGGGCACATACTGCGAGGCCCAGCCATCCAATAAACCGGTGATGCTTTTCGAAGACGTTATGATAAGTACTAGTCAAAGCGTCAGTTATCAAAGGCCGAAGTAGAAATTAGAGACACTGACTTTCGAACCCAGGGAAAGGCACTCAAGACGGAAATGATGATAAAGACGTTTGTGATTATCCCGCTGGCAATCACAGCATGGTGCTGAACGGCACGATACCGTATGATGTCGACGATCTTAAACACTAGCCAGCTGAAGACTCTGTCAGCACATTTACCACTAGCTCGTAGAGTTGCCTCACCCAGCACCGGAGAGAGCGCATCCTGAATGGATGCCTCCGACATGCTGCAGAACAGATGTTGCTGCTAGCTTAACGCGCAGTGGGGCCCACTAATGAATGCTTTGTCAGCGACTGTATGATGACCATGGAGAGAGGCACCCACACTTCGCAGGCCATATATGACAACCATGTAGAGAAAACGCATCCACAACTCATTTCGCATCAGAATGGCACAGAGAAGGTTGCCTAACACCAAAGCGCCTAGGTGGTTCTCAGCGTAAGGGAACCGACCGAGTGTGGCCATGATGATTCCGGTCAAGTTGAGCAAGGTAACGAACGTGAAGAACTTCCGGTACGTGTTGAACCAAAGCTCGAACAGGATCCATCGACTGATGTTTGGTTTCAGCGATTTTGGTTTCTTGACAGCCGCCTGGAGTACGTTGGCATCGGCGGCCCGCCTCCCTGCCGGCCATGATAGTGACAGTTCCGGCACACTAGAGAACGGCGGGATGTTTTCGTGGACTGGCGAGACGGGGGATAGCTGGTTTTCCATATGCACTGCCCTCTTCTGGCCCATGTAGACGAAAGGTGGAGGCGCCGTCAGCTCCAGTGTGCTGTCATACATGCCCTTCTCTGCATCATCAAAAGAGTCCTGACTGCAGCCACCGGCAAGGTAGCTTTGCGGTGAGACTACCATGATGAACGTACTCCCATCGAGGCTTCGAGACACAGATGCTGAGAAACGACGCGGCAGGGGTGATTTGGGATGGTGAAGTCACCGGCGGATTGCCAGAGCGCGAGTTTTAACCAGTCCCGAGGGGGGATCAAGCCCCACCACTTGGGTAGCCTAACGACCCGAAAGAGACGAATGAGTTCCATTGCCAGATAGACTCTGTAGAATGGGCCAGCCAGATATGCCGGGAGTGGGTGGAACGAACTATCAAGGCGGCTGTGGTCATTGAAGTGGCACGAGGGTAATTGCCGTCGATGTTGGAGGGAGCAGTTCCATTTAGTCCGTCAGAGCAATATATGAAGCGATATTGTTATTTTTTCTACCGCTTGTTACTCCCTGCGCTGCTCCATGGGAATTTCTGGTTGTGGATAAGGCCCCACTGCCGGCTGAAAGTTGACGACCGGCACGGAGAAGAAACTATCAAGAGATTCACTACCGAGAGCGCACGGTCTAAAAATCAGTGAAGAATTAAAAGGCAAAAGCTAGGCTTCACATCACTTCTCAAACGCACCAAGACATGTCCCATAGCCTGGTCATTGGGATGTACCACAGACGTTCATGGATTGATTCAGGGATATTGGGGCTCTGCATCCCCTCGCCCGAGGTCCGACAGTAATTGTTCGGTTTTCCCACGTGTGACTGCGTCGAGGTGCAGCAGCCAGAATCCGGGTTAATCTGGATAAAGGAGCTTGAAGGGAAATTTGCCTTATCATCTCGTATACTGAGCTGTCATTTCTCATCTCGTTCTTACCCAACATGATCTCATCACACAGTATATGCAGATAATTCGTCGAGTTTGGCGTTCATATGCCCAAGACCCATTGCCGACATGCTACCTCAATGGTGGAAAAAAAGTGAAGAAAGCGACTCCACCAAGGCTCGAGCGTGCACAGGCGCACGTGGTTAGGGCGAAGTCGGTTTCTTCCTTGGCCCTAAATTTAAGCTTAATCACAGCGTTCAAGCAATGGAACAAATGTTTCAATCTACCGTATCCACATCCATGCCGGCAATCAGCACACTATGTCGGCTCCACACTGCCAAACTTCAGCCGCATGCCGGCAGAAAGTCGAAATGCGTGTAAGCACCGCCGTCTTTCAGAGACGCTTGCCCCCGTCACCGCGACGACTGCAGCAGGCTGGCACGGTGGCAAGAATCGAGAAGGCGGATGTAGTGGACCTTTGGGAATAATTATTTAGATATTAGAGTATTGATGAGTGTTTTTGTCTTACCGCAGCAACGAAATCCTACCTAGGCTGCGAAGCAACTATGGTTACTGCCAATAGTCGGTGTGCTCTTGCCCGCCAATGTTCCCTCCACAGGTGTTCCTACGTCCACCCTACACCCCATAAAATCTACCACCCACATTGTTCTGACTGATGGTAGCTGCCCTTCACATTCTCATTCCTAGCGCCTCCACAATTGTTGATGAGTTCATTTACTGTTAGTACCACGAGAGCTTGACACTCCGATTTCCTCTGAGGCCAGCTAGGCTAATTAAAGATAAGCCGTCATAATCCCCTCAGACTATCTTTAGCATCGGACGAGCGAACAAACGAGCTATCTTGGCGAAACGGACTCGACCATAACTAAATCACATATGGCGTCTTCAGGGTCTCAGGCCTAGATGCCTACCCGATTATGTACGGCTCGTTGCCTCGACTAATAGGACACTCGGTGATCGGACGACAAGCGATCGGTGTTGTAAGGTTAATGGGTTGATTAATTAACGAGTATTCTTTCATGTAACTATCCAAGAATTATAAATAAGTAGGGCTTGTCCAATGATTAATAACGCTTCTAGCGCCATGTTACGAATAGTGTCAAAGGAGGATACCCGAGCCAAGCAGAGTTACCAAGTTAGTGTTGAGGTTTGTAAGATCAGTAGGGTTAGAACATGCCAATCGTGTGGCAGATTTATTATATGCGTTAAACCATGCAAATTGTCGCGTGCAAAACTCCCTAGATCGGTTAGGCTAGGTCATGGGTGAAATTTGGTGTATGCAGAAATCGACGAAATTCTTAGCGCTCTGCGAGATGTGCTCTCATCGCCTTCTAATTTCTAAGAATAAAAACTCAATGTAGATCTATAAGAGTCATGTAGTATTATCTCTTCTATATGTAGAATCTTTCACTTTTTTTTACAAAAAAAATATCAAGATGTTGCTAAGATATAAAAGAATTGCTATTCTACTCTTCTATAATTTTAGAAGATTTGATTAGTAGTCTTAGCATGCAAAAATGCATATAATTCTTAGAGTTTTACAAAATGTTACAAATATACGCTTTGCAGCAGCATTTCTTTCCAATATAGAACGTAGATGTTGATATTATATAGAGAAGAGCTTATAAAGTATTATAATTGACTAGAACATACATTAGACTTCCTCTAGAGAGCCCTTAGACTAGCCTTAGAAATATAATATCCTGTTACATACTCTAGTAATATATATTCTTTCTTACGTCTCTAAGTTTTCTTAGAGATTTATCTATTAAAACTTATTTATAACTTTAGTAAAACTAGGTTTTACATAGGCAATGTAACAGTGCGTCACACTACATTCTAGAGGCTAGTTCTCTCTTCAGGCCTAGGGCCTCGCCTAGGCCTGAGCAGGAGTAAATCTCTCTTCGAAGCAGCACCTCTGCTCCTTAGTTCAATCTATTTAGGTTACACCACTGTGACGAACTAGAGGCAATGGCTGCAGTAACTAAGCAGATGACGCTAGAAGCATGCAAACGCTTAAAGAGCTAGCATGATAGAAACACAACGATGCGTGGGGCAGCTTATGTCACAAGTCACGTGACAGGAAACAGTCGCAGTTAAAAGAGCAGACGCAGCCTTAGCTAGTGCTAAGGTAACAACTAGAAACTTAGCAGCAACTAAGCTAAGAAATAAAAAGATATACAAGAACTATAGATTTTCTAGATAGACTATCTTTTTATAGTTATTTTTAGATTATTACTGTCACGGTCGGCATGCTCAAGCTACAAGCAAGAGGTGGTGTAACTCAACTAGATTAAACTAAGGAGCAGAGAAGCTGCTCTGCGAGTTTAAATATACATGTGTGCCCCCTGCCAAGGCGCTACTTGTAGCACTAGCGTGCTACTCGTTGCGCAAGCGAGGGAGCTGATGCCGCAGAGCATGTGAGGCGGTACACGCCGTCACAATTACTAAATACTCTAGATAATCTCTACATTTGTACAACTATTTAAAGCACCTGCAGTAACATTTTTGCACGCTACTAGCTAGTATAGAATACTATATTATCTACCTACTTTTACGTTTCTTTTTAGACTATTTTCTTAACTATCTTTCTCTATTATAAATGTAGCTAAGTAGAAAGTTAGTAAATAAAAATTAATAAATAAAAAATATAATAAAAATAACTACTTTTTACTAAGTTAAAGTGTGAAAAAGTAAGAAAACTATAGTGTTAAAAGTAGCATTAAAAACTAACGTACTTTATAGGCAAGTTGCTTACACACCTAAGTTACTTACTTTTGCTAAGACTCTACTAAACTACTCTTTCTATACTAATGCATTTCTAATAATACTAGTTAAACGTGCTAAAAGAATATTAGATATAGCTTATACTTTAGGTGTAAGGACGGGGCTCCGCACCACTCCGCCAATACAACCAAAAAGGTGCGAATAATCAACCAACAGTTAATTATTGCGTACAGAATAGTATATATACCCGTCGCACGTAAGCGCCATCTCGGCCTTACATTATCCCCCTTCTTAGCAGACGCATGTCCCAGGCGTCACATGACCTACCCGCAGCTCAGAGGCGCCTATGCGCATGTCTCGGTTACCGGCCAGAGGCTGACCACCTGCGGCCCAGAGGCGCGGGATAAATAACGACGCAACGCTCAGTGGCCCACGCCAGCTAAGCCATATACACTAGACCTTCCAGCAGCAACAACGTGGCGCCAGAAGAGGCCGCCTCACGTTTCAGTCTAAAAACTGGCTTAAAGCTGACCGAGGTGGGGGTCGAACGCGCGACCGTCCTCGTCGTTGGTTGATTATTATGTAAGGACGGGGCTCCGCACCACTCCGCCAATACAACCAAAAAGGTGCGAATAATCAACCAACAGTTAATTATTGCGTACAGAATAGTATATATACCCGTCGCACGTAAGCGCCATCTCGGCCTTACATTAGGCTTTTAAATAAAATGTAACACTTTTAAAGCAATATGCTATATAGCTATGTATAAAGTTTCTTAAATAATAATAAATAACTAACATACTAAATAACCTTTATAAGCTAATTTTATAGCTAACTTATAAAAGCTAAGTAATAATAAGAAGTAAGTAATTATTAAGCACATACTTAAGCTATATACGCAAGAATTTTCCTCTTAGCTAGTAGCTATAGCTAATATAGCTAATTCTTTACATACTAAGTATAATCTAGGCTATGTTAGCATAAACTAGCTTATTATGTTTATAAAGTGTTATTTAAAGCTTAAAGTAAAGTTTAAGTATAAGTATAGCTATAAAAAAGCTTTTTATAAGAATTTTAAAGTAATTTAAAGCTAGTTTAGCTTTATAGAGAGTATTAAAGCTAAGTATAGCATTTAAAATAATAACATAACGTACTTTATAAGCGAGTCGCTCACACACCTAAGTCGCTCACTTTTGCTAAGACCCCACCACACTACTCTTCCTACACTAATGCATTCCTAACAACACTACTTAAACGCGTTAAAGAAACGTTAGATGCAGCTTACGCTTTAGGCTTTTAAACAAAACACAACACTTTTTAACTAACGCGCTGCAGCTATCTACAGGGTCCCTTAAAAAACAATAAGCAACTAACGCGCTAGACAACCTTTCTAAGCTAATTGTACAGCTAACTTACAGAAGCTAGACAATAATAAGAAGCAGGTAATTGTTTAGCACATACTTAAGCTAGATGCGCGAGGATTTCCCCTCTAGCTAGCAGCTGTGGCTAATATAGCTAATTCTTTGCACGCTAAGCATAATATAGGCTATGTTAGCATAAACTAGCCTAATATGTTTGTTAAGTGTTACTTAGAGCTTAAAGTAAAGTTTAAGCGCAAGTACAACTATAAAAAAGCCTTTTATAAGAATCTTGCAGTAATTTAAGGCTAGTTTAACCTTATAAAGAATATTAAAGCTAAGTATAGCATCTAGAATAACAACACGTACAACTTTAACAAGATAGGGTTTATAATAGGCTAGATATCTACTAGAGCAGTTGTTACAGGTTTAGAGAGACAAGGACAGCTAAAAGCAGTCTAGCTAGGCAACTAGGAGTGGACAACAGCCATCTAGGGCATTAATGCTAAAAAGTAGGCTATTTCGCCCTTTATTATCTTTTAGGGTGGCAACTACCTTTTAAACTAGTACAAGAAGGAAAATCTACTTTAGAATTAAGTTATTGCAATCTCTAAGCGCAGCTAGACTACTAATTAGCTTAGTCTAGACTAGTTAAAGCACTTTAACGCGCATATAAAGAAGCGTACTGTTAGCAGCTACTGTCTGCTAGTTATTAATAGCTATAAAAGCTATAACTTGCTTTATTTCTAGTAATACTGTAAGGATAATAAGATTATTACTATTTACATGCTTTCTTACTTATCACACCTCTTACAGCTACTTAATGTAGGTTGTTTTACTCCTTTAAAGAAGGTGTATAGGCGCTAAGCTAAAAACCTTATGCGCAACTAGATTACCTATATTATAAAAATAAAGTTCCTGCTATGCTTTAAAGCAGCCTATAATGCTGCAATTACTTCTAGTAATATCTAAGAAGGGTTCTAAGGCGCTAGATTAGTTCCTTTTAACCCACAACAGGTTATAATAGGCCTTAATGTGAAGTTGCGCACTCTATTACTACTACTACCTATATATAACAAGCCCTAGTAGTTGTAAACCCTAAGCAATACCCTAGAACTTAGGTTGCAATTAATGCTTATAAAGACAAGGATTTAAAAGCATACAAATAGTTTACTAACTTCTATAGTTAAGGTGTTTAAGAAGGTTTTAAAGGGGGCAGTAATAATTACGCATAAGCTAGTGTTAGCGCAACAGGAAATTACTAAGCTTTAAGCAGCTAATAAGGCTGCTACGTGACATAAATTGCATAAAAGAAAGCAGATTAAGGTAGAAGGGACCTTAATAATTTAAAAAGGCCTGCGCTTAACAGCTCTAAAGGAGTTTAGGGCGCGCAGTGACAGGAAGAAGGCAAAGAAGCAGGTGCAAGCTAAAGTAAGTAAGCTATCCTAAAGGCGCTGCAGACAGTGCAATTAGACTAGGCATAACGCGCAAATGTGTAAGCAAGACGCAGAAGTAGTATCTAAATAATATTCTAGGCTGTACTGTACTATATAGTGCCAGAGCGGGTTGTTATGGGCCATAATAGAGTTCGTTGGGGTGGGGTCTTGGCAAAAGTGAGCGACTCGGGTGTGTGAGCGACTCGCCTATGAAGTACGTTAGTAATAATTTAATTAATTATTTAATTTATTTTATTTAGGTTAAGGTTTAAAAATAGCTTAAGTTAAAGCAGAGTTTAGTATTAAGCCTTTTACACTTCTTTTTAAGTAAGGACATTTTAGAATTACCTTATAAAAGCATTTAGTTTTCCTCTGTTTTAACTAGAATAATAAGTAATTTTAAAATTAAAACAGAATAAGTATTTAGACTAATAGACTTATTAGTAGCTAAGTTATTTTATAGTTACAAAGTACTGTAAGTTCTTGTAGTTAGATAGAACTTATATTAGATGCGCTGCACCTTCTAGTTTAGGTTGCTATTATTTAAAGTAGCGTACTATAGCAAGTAATTTCTTATTATAGATCTTATAATTACCTTCTGCAGAACTTATTCTTTTTAAAAAGTATACAATAGGCCTAATAGTCCTGTCTAGCTTAGTCTAGAAAGGAACTCTTACTACTATGTAGTCTAAGGCATTAGCTTCTACAAGTATTAGTAGTTTAAGGTTAAAGTAGTAGAGTATTAAGGCTTTAGTAAAGGCTTTCTTTAGCTAGTTAAAAAACTATTAGTAATTTAAGTTAAAGTTAAATTAAACCTTTTTCTTAGTAAGTATAATTATAAGGCTTACTAGCTACAAGAAGTTGTTAATAAATTATTAGTAAAAGTTAGTACATTTTATAAAGGCTTAAATGTTCTTTATATTCTTTAGGTATTACTAATCTAGCATAGTTTAAACCTTAATAGGGTCTATTTAAATGCTATCTATAGAAATTACATATTCTAAATATGTAACCTTTAATTAGTAGAACTTGCATTTATCTATATTAAGTTATAGACCTGCTTCTTTTATAGCCTTTAGCACTAAGTGTACATGCTGTTTATGCTCTAAAAGGCTATTACTATAGATTAGAATATTATTAATATACATAGTGCAGAACACATTTAGGTAGGGTTAGAGTAAGTTGTTTATAAAATGTTAAAAAGTACTAGGCGTGTTAGCTAAGCTAAAAGGCATTACTAGGTACTTAAATAGTCTATATTAGGTCTAAAACGCTGTTAGCTACTTATTACTCTTTACTATTCTTAGCTTATTAAAAGCAGTAATAATATTTAACTTTATAAAATACTTTACTTTACTTAGTTAGCTTAGAGTTTTTTATAAAAAAGAAATTAAGTATTAGTTTTTAATAGTAACAGCATTTAGTTCTTAGTAGTTAACATAGAATTAAAGCCTACTTTTAGGTTTTTTTATAAATAGTATAAGTAACACTACTAGTAAGAAGCTAGCTTAAATAAACCTTTTTTTTAAGTTCTTATTAAGGTATTTTTAGAGCACTTTTAATTTATTTAGCAACATTCTATATAGTAGCCTATAACTAGGTTATTTGCTAGGCTTAAAGGTTATCTAGTAATTATATAAACATTATATTAAAAGCTTATTAGACTTATCTTAAAAAAAAACATATAATAAGTTATAGTAGTCTTAAAAAACTATTATCTTTAAGTTAGTATGTTTTTAAAAAGCTAAAGCTTAGTTTATATTAGAAATTATAACTATGTAGATTTTATAATCTAGTTATTAAGCTAGGGTTATAAATAGGGCAGGTTCTATATAGCAGATGTCTATCTGCTGTTTAAGTCCTAGTTTATGTTTAAATTAGGTAAATAAAGGTTTCTTAAAAGCTTTTTTTTCTTTAAGTTTAAGCAGTTATTAAATTATTTTATATAGCTTATCTTAGTAAAAGGCCTAGCTTATTAGCCTTACTTAGGTAGTTTTTTTTTAGGTTATTAAAAAGTAGGTCTAGAGACCTTCTATATTAAGTGCTATTTAGGTGTTATTTAGGTGTAAGCATAAGCATATGTTTTAGCATTAGAAAGAGTTAAAGTTTAAAACTTACTTTTAGTAATTAAAAGCAACTTTATGCTAATACAGCTATAGTTGTTCTAGAATTAGGTTATAATATTCTATATTTATTATATAAAGTTTAATCTACTTCTTATAGTGTTAGTAAGTAATTATAATAGTTATAGTATAAAAAATAAAACTTTTTTTAAGTTATTTTTTATTAAATCTAGTTAAGTAAATTATTTAGGTAAGTAGTGTTAATTAGAAATTTAGTTTACACGCTAGTTCTTTATTAATGTAACTTATACTATTTGCTTCTAAGTTAATAAAAGCTTATATTAAAGCTAATATAGTTTTTTATTATAAATATATAAAAATATTAACTTAGTACTTTTAGTTATTAGTAGAGGACTTAGCCTATAAGTTAGCAGAGATCTAGTGTTAAATTAGTCCTAAGGGGTAACTTAGCCCTAGGACAAGCCTTTTTGCAGGCTCCTACTACTATAGCTGCGGCTACGTTAAAAGTAGTAAGAGAAATTAGGGCTTAAATATAAGTTAAAGCTTTTATAAAAATAAAATTAAAATAGTAAAATTTTTTAATAAGTACTAGCAGCGCTACTTACGTAGACTTAAAAAAGAAGAATAAAGTAGTTTTAGAAGATATAACTATGCTTACTGCACTTAAAACATTAACTTTTTTTTTTATAATTTTTACACTTTCTAGAACTAACTAAAGCATAATTTAAATTAATTTTTATTATATTAAGGTTCTTATTTGCAACTACGCTAGTTTAGGGGCGTATTAGGGCTTATATAGGGAGGAACCTTATGTTATTATTGTAGGTAGTAATTAGGTTTGCATACGCGTTAAGGTTATTTAGAAGGGGTTCTTCTACTATAGCGCGTTACAGTTTAGTTAAGAGGGAGTTATATAAAGCTGTAATTAGACTTATTTTATTTAGGCCTATATTAGATGTAAGTTAGTAGAACTTAGTAAAGTGTAAAGTAAAGCTTTTTTTTTATTATAAAGTGTTTAGGTAACTTAGGGCTATTAACTTTTTATTTAAGTCTTTATAAGTTACTTATAAGAACACTATAAATTAATTTAAGTTAATAATATTTTTATTTATTAGTAAGTTAATTAAGGCTATTATATTATAGTTAAGTTAAAAGTAGGCATATAGTAACTAGAAGTGTTTAGAGAGAAATTAGTCTATGTTTCTTTTAAGTTTATATTAGAGCTTATATAGGAAAAAAAGTAGGTCTTTTTATTTTCTGTTAAATAGCAAAGAATTAGGGAGTTAGTTAAATTTTATTACTAAGTTAAAAAGGTTACAAGTTATAGGCAGTGTTAAGTAAGAAAAAGTTAAGCTATCTTTAGACTTCTAAGTAAGCTTTAAGGCTAGTAAGTTCTTAGTTCCTACTACTATAACAAAAGTTAAAGTAGAAACAGACTGCTTAATAACATAAAGCTCTTCTTTAAAGTCCTTTTAAAAAGCTTTAAAGCTTATAATATAGTAGCTTTTTTATAAAGTAAGCGCTTTTTAGAAAGCTTCTTAGCTTACTCTAATAGCTTAAAGTTATGCAAGTACTAAGCTTATTAGATTAGATTTAAAGGCTATTCTTAGCTAGAGTTTTAACATAATGTAATGTTATAATTATGCATAAGTAAGCTTATAAAGCTTTGTAGAGGTCTAGTTTAATTACTATGTAAAGTATTATAGTAGGTATAAGACATTATGTAAGAAATAGAAAAGTTTAAGAGAAAATTAGTAATTAAATACTTAGCTTAAAAGTCTAAGCGCTTTAGGTATAAATTAAGCCTGTTCTAGGTTTAGTTAGTGTTAAGGTAGTTTGTGCTTAAGTTTATGTCTGTGTTGTGTTGTGTTTATGTCAGACGTGCACTAATAATACTCTAGTACGCGTCTAATACAGTTATGTCTAGGATCTGGGGAGGATACTGTGACACTTACTATACTTAAAGCATTAACTTTTTTTTATAATCTTTATACTTTTTAGAACTAACTAAAGTATAATTTAAATTAATTTTTATTATATTAAGGTCCTTATTTATAACTGCGCTAGTTTAGGGGCGTATTAAGGCTTATACAAAGAGGAACTTTATGTTATTATTGTAGGTAGTAATTAGGTTTGCATACATGTTAAGGTTGTTTAGAAGGGGTTCTTTTACTATAGCGCGTCGCAGTTTAGTTAAGAGGGAGTTATATAAGGCTATAATTAAACTTATCTTATTTAGGCCTATATTAGATGTAAGTTAGTAAAACTTAGTAAAGTGTAAAGTAAAGCTTTTTTATTTTTATTATAAAGTGTTTAAGTAACTTAGGGCTGTTAACTTTTTATTTAGGTTTTTATAAGTTACTTATAAAAACACTATAAATTAATCTAGGTTAATAATATCTTTATCTATTAGTAAGTTAATTAAAGCTGTTATATTATAGTTAAGTTAAAAGTAGGCATATAGTAACTAGAAGTGTTTAAAGGGGAATTAGTCTATATTTTTTTTAAGTTTATATTAGAGCTTATGTAGGAAAGAAGGTAGGTCTTTTTATTTTCTATTAAACAGTAAAGAATTAGAGAGTTAGTTAAATTTTATTACTAAGTTAAAAAGGTTACAGGTTGTAGGCAGTGTTAGGTAGAAAAGAGTTAAGCTATCTTTAGACTTTTAAGTAAGCTTTAAGGCTAGTAAGTTCTTAGTTCTTACTACTATAATAAAAGTTAAGGTAGAAATAAACTGCTTAATAACATAAAGCTATTTTTTAAAGTCTTTTTAAAAAGCTTTAAAGCTTATAATGTAGTAGCTTTTTTATAAAGTGTCACAGTTATGTTACAGCTATCTAACCCCTGAGTACCCTTAGGGCTTGGCACAGGGTATATAGGCTCCTCGGCCTCCGTACCTCTGCCTCTGACCCTAAGGTTTACTCTTGTTACCCCCTATCCTGCATTCCCTCTCTGTGACCTGTGTTTCCTGCTTGATACCTCTTACATAAAGTAAGCGCTTCTTAAAAGGCTTTTTAGCTTACTTTAATAGCTTAGAGTTATATAAGTACTAAGCTTATTAGATTAGATTTAGAGGCTATTTTTAGCTAAAGTTTTAATATAACATAATGTTATAATTATGCACAAGTAAGGTTATAGAGCTTTACAGAGGTCTAGTTCTATTACTGTGTAAAGTATTATAGTAAGTATAAGATGTTATATAAGAAATAAAAAAGTTTAGAAAGAAATTAGTAATTAAATACTTAGCTTAAAAGTCTAAGCGCTTTAGGTATAAATTAAGCCTGTTCTAGGTTTAGTTAGTGTTAAGGCAGTTTATGCTTAAGTTTATGTCTGTGTTATGTTGTGTTTGTGTCAGACGTGCACTAATAATACTCTAGTACGCGTCCAATACAGTTATGTCTGGGATCTGGGGAGGATACCGTGACACCATCCTTGTTCGTCTAAACCGTGGGGCATTCCCGGCTGATAGTGTGGAGGATAAAATAGCCTGGCAGTAGCTGTTTAGAAGATCGGATGAAGTGACTCCGCTCTCTAAGAGAGCTGAAGGCTCTCCTTATATACACCGAGCTTCGGAACATAATATCTCCAGTTCCCGAGCTGCGTCCCAGGCTCTGAGCTCAAGTCCCAGGCTCCGAGCCCCAGCCAAGGCTCTCAGTATACGCGACAGATAGCTTATAACCCAATCGTAGGTTGTAACAAGAACATGCTATCTCTAGATTCTAAGCCGCGTTCTAGGCTCTAAGTCCTAGCTAAGGCTCTTAGTATACGCAACACACCCCCTAGGTAAGCTGCGCAGCTGCTTACCTATATAGAGTATTAACTTAGCTTATTAGAGTAGTGCTGCACGTTTACTTTATGTTTATGCTTATTATATGTTGTCCCTAGTAATTCTAGTACTTATTACCCTAGGCAGCGCAATACTTATTTCCCTAGGCAGCGCAGGTCACGTGTGCGCTGTAACTACTATAATAAATGTAAATAAATTCTTCTACTTCTTAAGCTTTTTTTCTATAAATTTAAATAATATACTATGTGTAAGTTATTACTGTTAAAAGCTTTAAGAATAACTTTAAACTTATTTATAATCTACAAACGTGCATCTGTAGCTTAATAAAGCTAAAAGAGCCGCCCTCGCGCGTGCTGCCGCCCTGCGGAGCCGCACCGTCCGCAAGCCTGCGCCCACCACCCCCCGCCAGCCTCCCCCTGGTGCGCTCCGCGCGCAGTCCTGTCTAGGCTGCATAAAGAGTGCGCTTATAAGGCGCTTTAATAGAGGGTGCTATATTTCTGCTAATAGCAGATTCCGCTGCTAGCGCTGTTCCTTTAGGCACAGCTGCCTCCCCCTGTAAGCTCTGTAGTGGTGTGTAGAGTAATCTAGCTTTTAACTTCTTTATAGTCCTACTATTACTATCATCTAGGCGCAGCGTCTTATTACAGCTTTTATTATAGAGGATAAGTAGGTAAGCTTCTTTATAAAAATTATATAAAATACGACAACAGTTTATAAATAATCTGTAAAAGCAAAGCTTGCTTAGAGAAATAGTTAGTACATTAAGGTAGGTTATTTAGGTTAAAGAATAGTTATAGCATAATTCTTAGCAAATTAGTATTAGACAGGTAATAGACACATAATAACAATATTTAACTATAGCATGTAACTAATTACAGGCTGTAACTAAGCGTCGCTAATACTAATCTCTAACACACTAATATAGCTAATGCTAATCCTTAACATACTAATATAGCTAAAAACGTAGAATAAACATAACTAACTATAATTTAAATATGTTTTATATAACA